AGTTGGCAGGGTGCTGCAAGTAGCGATGCAAAAGATCGTCTTTTTAAGTTTTCCCTCGCCCTCAAAATGCACGATGTGAGTTACACATTCGTAAAGAAGCTGCTCAACCTTTTGTAATCTGGACAGCTGAAATATGAAATGTGTTGTACTATGAATCGACAGTTCCATTTGTTAACCTTGGAGTTGTACTATGTTGGCCATGTATGCATGCCATATTGGGAAACTTAGCCATGAAGAGCACTGGCACAAGTGGAGGCAAACAAATTTTCCTAGCAAGAACTGTGAACTAGTTTCACATATATTTCCATGTGCTGTAACCTCTGTAGACAATCTTTTATTCGAACTGCACAGCTGCATCGTAAACTTGCTTTTGAGCTACTGCTTGCATGATTCAAATTTCCAAGCCTTTCACCGAGTTTTTCTCAGTCTGTTTATATAATGTCAGTATCTGGGAATTAACTTGAATTCATTTGCAATGAAATGTTTGGAACAATGTTGTCCCACTTACACAATCTCCGTAAGTCGAATCTGCCACGGTGGGTAACCCAGCAGGCTGTGTACAACACCAAACCTCAGCAACAATTCTGGGTCAGGAACATCTGACAAAAAAAAAAGGAAGGTATTTGAAGAAAACTTGGAGCTCCCAAAGTACTTGACATTGTATTCAGTTACTTAATTTCATTATTAGCAGTGTTGCCACTCAAAAAAAAAAAAGTGCACTCAGTCTGCATTAGACCGCGCATTATTTTGTCAAGCTTATCAAGTCTGTGACCAATACATTTTGCTGCAGCTATAACTGCATTCTCAAAGCATGCAGTTGCATACTGAATAAAAAGACTGGCACCCAGATTATGAACAAGGCTCCCGTACTAGGTGCTGAAACATGAGCACATTTTTTATTTTGTGGTCGGCATCTATGAAAGCATTGATTTCAATCGCACCCTGAAGGATACTTGATTTGAATTATGACTGCAAATGAAGTACGGCACTTACAGGCGTAAGTGCAAGATAAAAACAGTAAAAGAACTCGCTCACTGTTGAACAACAGTGCATTTTTCACCACTTCCCAATGTTATAAATGCTAAATTGGCCTTTCTCAATTTTGGACAAGCTAAAAGAAATTTGCAAGACTGTCTAGCTCGAAGAGTTTCTGGCCATAGAATTTAGAGCTGGAATAACAGGCATCTGTGTAACATCCGTGCCAGGTCATCCTTAAAGAAGAAAAGTGGAACAGACTCAAAGTTGATATTGCCACAAAGAGCCAACCCACCTCCCAGCTCTCGCTGTATTAAATGAGGAGTAATGTCACTGGGTGCCATCTCTCTCCTCTCCACAGCTTCGCAAAAAGTGCGAGCTATGCTCGCCAAGTGTGGGCGGCCGTCGTCGCTGCTTGCAAGGTGCACGTTTATGTGCTGCTTGTAGCCATTCCTTTGACCTGGGAGTGCAAGACAACAAGATCAATGTTGCTTGGAACATACCTTCTTGAATTTTTGCACTAATCCAAACAAAGTAGAAATACACAGAGAGTGACCAAGAGAGAAAAAAAAATGAAATGATAAGGCTGGAGCCAGCATGTCTACAAGGAGATTTATTTCTATCAGGACATATGTCGATCTTTTGCTTAGCAAGACGATTTGAAACATGCACAAGAAAATGAGGAAGAGTTTTGGTGTGTGTTGATTCCAAAAGGGCACATTGGATCTGCTGCTATTTTCTGCAATATGCATTTCTCTTGCATTTCAGAACATTCAACATTGGTTAAGCTTCTTTAACATGCTTTTGTTTTGTGCTACAGTCGATGGAAGAGGCATCCAACTACTTTTTGTATTTACTTTGGAACAATATTTTTTCCCCCTTTCTGGTTGCCAGTTATCCTGCCTGCAAAGAATGTGCTTTGTACTGCCAACTAGCATTGTACTTTTAACATTAATGACATTAAATAGGTGCAATATTGCGTGTCAGAATGGTACCAGTCACAACTCTGTTATAGCACCTCTCTTAAGCTTCACTACATAGCCTAGAAGGTTTCACTGCTTGGGGTGCTGATTACAACTTTTTCTGCTGTCATAATTATTTTTTTTGTTTGTGGAAAAGGGGAGAGGTCTGAAGTTGCAAAGCCATGATATAAATGTGACGCACATTATAGTGGAGGGCTACAAAAATTTCAACCATTTGGTTTTTTAACGTGCACCTAAATCTAAGTATGCAGGCCTCTAGATTTTTCTACTCCATTGAAAATGTGGATGCTATGGCTGAGATTGAATTCAGTAACCTGTGGGTTCGCAGCTGGGCACCATAACCATTTGACTACCGTGGCAGGTTCCTGCCGTCTTTCACACAATCTGATGTTTTGCTTAGTGATTGTTTCGTTTTTGAAAGGGTTAATTGTCTTCAAAATTTTCTGAGTTGCCTATAACAAGGTAATGACACTTCAGGTTCTGCACATGACTATTTTCAAAACTGAAAGCTCTCATTCATAGAATGCTTCCTCCTCACTTGCATACACCACTCCACATTCCAGCAAAGGTCCCAACCACTACAAAGGCTTTGCAAAAATTACTGTTACCCCTTATAGAAAGCTCTCTGGTTCACAGAGAGAAAGAGAAGGCAGAAGAGAGATGAATAGAAAGAATAGTTTGCTCAGCTACTCTGTAGTCATTGAGGCTGCTTGGTTATAAAATTTATTTGTAGGCACTTGCACAGTAACATTTTTTCAGAGCGTGGGTTCGAGATGTACAGAAACAACATGTGATGTGTTATAAATGACACTACTTGATGCTTTGTGATATAACTAATTAGAAATGAAGGTGTGATTAACATGCACTCAAGTGAATAGAGCGAGAAAGTATAATTGCAGAAATAGCTGATAGGTTGGCCTTAAGTAGTACAATCACTCAACTGTTGCCACCTAGAAAGTAGTCTCTTTCCTTACTTTAATAGGGTGTATATTTCTCTAGACAGCTATCCATGCACTATGGGGGGAATGGGAAAGATATATACACTAAAAATCAGAACTAAATCTAATCTAAAAAAATCTACTATGCACAAACTACTAATACAGTGCTATTTATAAATAGATTTGATCAAAATCAGCCAGCCAATATGAAGACTTGCTCGTACTGTTTTCATTACAAATATGCAAGCTGCAACGTACACCAGAGATGCGCAATTTTTCCACAGGCTAATGTAATATTTTCACAACAGAGCAAAATGACGAAAAAATGACCTTAAATGTGCTGACTCGAAAACTTGTCTTACGATAAATGGCCATATTTACTGCACAAGGATATAAGTGTATTGGGCATTTTAAAGGCTATGTAAGTGGGGCGGGGGCAGAAGAGGATGGAATCACGTCTTTAATTTTAAAGTGCCTAGCATGCACCGAAAATCTTTTTTATTGTTATTTTAGCCGGCGCTTGGATGATTTTTTTTTTTTTTCGGCATGCAAATCTGTTTTCGGAGAGGCCATATTGCAACAAATTTAGTATTAAGGAAGGTGTATAAAGAGACGTACCATTCTTTTGTGGCAATTCCTGGCCCTTTACATGCAGCACGACTTTGCAGCGACTGTCGCATCCAAAGTGTTCGACTTGGCTTCTTGAGATCTCCTTGTAGAGTCTGGCGCAGTTCTCCTTTAAAGCTCCTTCACGAACGATAAAAAAAAAAAAAAGGGAGGAGATATTAAAATGCCTCAAGTTCGCTAAATGTGTAGCCACACTAAGAGTAGCACGATGCTAAACGAAACGCACTTCGGTGGCAGAAACCTAAAGAGCTTCATTGCTGTCGATGCGGAGAGCACAAGTGGAAGAGAAAACAAACAACCAAAAAAGGTGACGGTAGCAACGATAGAGAAACAACACGTGTACTCGCCAACGCGCCGACTGTAAAATGCCACATGCGCACGGGAAGTAGCCCGTTCGTCAAACATCGGCTTAAGGAAAGCAATTGGGGGGGAAACAGCCAAGCGATCACGCGCCTGCCGGTATCAATCGATTCGTGACGCTACGCAATAGTTGTCAATTACGACAGGTAGCCCGGCGGTAAGTTCGCTGAATTGATACTTTCGCCGAGAGACACCGCCGCTTCAGAAGTTTCGGGTCAGGGCACAGCTGCTATCAGAGCTCGAAGCAAAACTGGAAGCCAATGTAACTGCAAATGAAAGTAAACCTGATACTGAGGTGCCGTCAACGGCATAACCGGCATCATCACCCTCCATTACCTCCACAACTTGTAGGGACGTAGAACTGTAGGGGATGTATAAATGATGCGCGATTTTTTTGTTGTTTCTCATGGAAGTTGCAAGTATAATGTAGTATAAGGAGAACCGGAGGTAGCAGATGAGATAGTGGAAAGAAACGGACGCACAAATCCTCTCAGAACGACAGGTGTGTCACTCACCTTCTACATCGTAGAGAGTTACGTGCGGTATTCCGGCAAACAAACACCACACTACGAGATTAGCGGCATCTCGATACGAGATGTCGTGTTCACCGATTAAAACGGCTATGTGCTTGGGAACCTTCAGCAGCAAGTCCATGTCAGGGAGAGCACTCGAGGAGGAGCACACAAGTTTCGCGTCGGAAAACTTTGCATCATGCGCACTTGAGTACTTTAACCGATGAAGTAGCTTGTGTTTCAATGTATAAAATACGTCTAAGGCATATAGACAGGCGTGCAGAGTACACAGTATGAGTTTACACGCGAGGCTAGTAATGAACATTGTTGCAGCAAGCGAAATTTCACCGGCTCATATCAACATAGTTACACGAAAGCGCGAGAGAGGCGAGCGAGGAGGCGTCTGGTGGCGTCGTGTTTGCAGGGCCGCAGAAAATGCGCTGGAACGCAGAAAAATCAGTAACAATTGTGTAATGTAAAAAGAACTTTTCAAATAATTTATCTAAAACGTTGTTTAATTTATTTGATACTGATAAATTGTTCAATAAAAAGTCATAATTAGTTTATGCTCTTGCTGTTAACATTATCCTCTTTGCGTGTACAATGGCGCGAATTGTCTGCTTCGCCAGCGCTTCGCAAGTGGGGGCTAGTGCTCATTTTTATTTCGCCTCAGTCTAATATGCCTTAACTTAACCGGCACAGTGAGGTCGCCTTAAAAGCTTGTCTGTGACGTGTTTTTACTTATTTTGCCTTTGTAATCCTCCGATCGATCCCTGTGACGGCTTTCGCCATGAGACTTGCTGCATGGTTGGTAGCAAGTATCGCTGATTCCATTGCTAGAAAGTTTATTTGAACGTCCCCCCTCCCCCCGTCGCTGCCATCACTTTGTTTTTTAAGTTTCAGCTGGCACTGACTCCACACTCCATGCGCGCATATCGCTGTGGCCAGGTGCGACTGTGATTGTGCTTGTTTGATCACATTTGGGGGCAAGGAACTACAACTGATCCGTCTTCGCTACGCGTGTTGAATACCTGGCGTTGAAAGAAAATACATTTGCCGTTGACTCGATGGAAGATGATGGCGATGCGGACATTTATTCTGGCCTTGGCGAATACTGTTCGGAAAGCACATCCGATGCCCCCGACTCGCACGTGGCGTCTGCTGCCAAATTGGATCTGTTGGACGCATCTGTGCTACCGAAACAACTCTCGCCTGTAAAGAGCGAAAACCGGTTACAAGGAAGCGCCACTGGCACGTATTTCGACCACGCCAGGTCATCTTCCGTGAGTGATGGCACTGAAGACAACCCATCGGCTGTAGTTGCCGAGAGTGCATCGTTGGTCCCTTTCTGGGTCACCAAGTCAGCCTAACCCAGCTCAAAAAGACCACATTACGAAGACTGTCCGCCTGCACCTCGACCAGCGGCAAGTTTGGTAAGCTCTCCTTGGCACATCTGGTTGGTACAGCCACAATACAAAGTTCCTCTATCAAAAACACCCAGAGTACATTTCAAACCAGAGTCGACAATATAAAACTGCGTAACAGGTACATCAATCAAAATTTCATTATTTGATGCTGTCCAAGGCAGGCAAATATCACCTATTCTAGAGACATGCAGATTTACCATACATGTTATGCTTCAGAAGCGTTTTCTGAGCATTCAATATGATCGCCTTGCATTATACCGACATGTTTGTCTCGCACTACTAGTCAACATATTGCAGTCGCTGACAATTGAAGTTAGCTCAGTTGGAGGAGGGTTTCCAGTGAAGTGCACTGACAAGGACACAGGAAGAAAGACGATACATTGTTGGAAGTGCTAGCAGCGTGCAGTCTTTCTTACTGTGTCCTTGTCGGTGCATTTCTCTGGAAACACCTCCCAATTTATTTCAGTCCTTGTGCATGACACAAAGTGTAAGAGATAAAGAACAACCTTACCCGAAACAGGTTTGAGCCCCCTTAGCAAAACATTGTAAAAATGCTAACAGGGTTCACATATCTGTTTCATCACGCACTTGATATTTCAGTTGCACTTTCCCATGCCACATCATTCGTGAAAGAATTGGGAGCTTATTGCTGTGTTCGAACATGCTCAAGCTAAGAAATGCTATTCAACTGCACACCCAACTTGAAGCAACTCTGGACATTCTCTCTCTGCTGACGTCTAGCTGTTTTATACTAGTTTGCATCCAGTAATGCACACTAGATAAACACCGTAAAAACATCTTTATTTTCAGCCTGCCCTATATCTCAGAATTATAGGTGTATTTAGGCAGCAATGCTCTCGTTAACTAACTGTGACCTAGTTGATGCTCACAACTGTTTTCTTTTTGTTGTTGTTTCAGTGGTTTGAGTGGCTGGCTTCCCTGCCTTTCAATTACAGGTTGCACATAATGTCAAGCCCGATGCTTCTGCAGCGTCGGCTGGTGCACAAAGAACTATGGCTGCATTGAAAAGAGAGAATGAGGTGCTGAGGCATAATATTTCTGTCCTGTTTAGGACAGCAAAACACCTTATGGACTCAAAGGACAAAGAAATTGTAAATTTGAAACGAAGGTAGGTAAATGTCTTAGCAAAAATTTGTTTGTACTCTATTACAACATTTAATAGTTTAGCTTGCTTATATTTCTGTCATATACATTTGTGCCATTTTTGTTATTTGGCATTGTGTCTTTTCATTATTGAAGTGTTTATTTTGTACTACAGAATGAACAGAGTTTGTTATCATTGAGCAATTTATTTGGACATCTTTTTCTACATCACCTGAGATGACTGATCTTTCTTGCGGTTGCCTTTTCAGGAAACCCTGCTTTGAAAAAAAAAAAAGAAGAAAAAACATTAATCGTTCGTTCAATAATATTGCTTGTATGTTTCAGTGTCTATATTCTTGTTGCTCCTTTTGCAATGCGGAGAGCATCTCTTTGTTGATACAATTGTTATTGGCGGGGAGTTCATTGATGGGTTAGACCGCTTAAGCATATGAACGAAGAAATCTTCAAGTGGCTGTGGTACATATTTTGCAGATTGCATTGCAGTTTACTGAGTGCCTTGAAGTGGCAGGTGTATTGCTCAATCAAAAACAGAACAGCGATAATGCAGCCTCCTGTAATGCCTTTTCTTACAAACTTGTTGCAAGACTTGACTGCTTGTGATGAACATCCTTGCTGTGTCAGTCAGTATTTTCACATCATTGTTGGTGTCACGAATGTAATATGTTTGTCCTTGCAGGTTAGACAACCTTGTGTTTAAAAGGAACCAAAGGCCTCAAAACTCACCACATGCTACTGCAAGCAAAGGTTCACAACAGCAGTACGATTCGTCAGCAGCCATGAGTGCACAAAGCACTTACGATTATACTCCTCAACACTCTTCCTGTGGTCCAAACCAGCCATTACAAAACTCACCGCTTGATACTAAAGCCGCGAGAGATACACGACATCGTATCAAGTGCGAAGTGAACCATCACGGGACTCGCCTAGAACGCCCACTGCAGAAACCTCCCGTAACTCTCCCTTTCAAGAGCGCACTCGTCAGTCCACAGCCAACAATGCCAACTAAAGCAAAGGCTGATATGTCCGTGGACTTGCAGCGACTTTATCAGTACAACAGCGTAAGGCCTCGGGACAGGACTGAGTTCAGCCGGGTTCCTGCATTGGCAGTCACACCAAAGAAAAATGAAAGTGTTTCAAAAAGAGGAGTGGTCACCCCGTACAAAGTCTGCAGCACAAATAAATGCAAGAAGGCTAGTCAAAAATAGCATTAGGAATGTAATTGGCTCTCCTTCCAAGCAACCAAGAAGGCTTGAAGCATACAGTAGGACTGGTTTCTCACCATTGAAAAAGAGAAGAGCGTCTGAACTAACTGCATTTGCTGAAAGGCCTGCCAGGGCAGCACAACACAATGAAAAAGGGATGCTTTGAGATCAGACATGCCACTGGAGCACTGGGAGTGGGAGCCACGTGTGAAAGAGCCAAGGACGCCACCATACACAGGCAGCAACATTTATGAAAAACTGTGCAATCCGCATCAAGGCTGGCCTGAGGAGTCTGTTGATAAGCATTATGATTCTCCCCAACTCAGCCATAAAAATGAACCTAAGGGACCGCGAACATCACCTCTAGACGAAACAGAACTAGAGGCTGGAGAGATCCCTGATACTCCGCCAAAAAGCAAGGAAGGTTGTTAAAGGACCACACACACCACCTGAGGAATATCCAGGGGATAGCACTCTCGAGAAAACACCACCTCTTGAGGGTGAAGTAGCCACTCAAAGGAGACAAACTAAAGCTGAAAATGAGCGAACAGAATCGCCTGCAATGAAGTCTGATGTTGCTAAGATTAGCGGGCCATCCAAGAACGTGGTGCCTGTAAGGTACCCTGGTGGTAGATTATCATCACCATTCAGCGAGACTACGGTTGGGTTGAGCAAACGTTTGGAACAACTCCAACCTAGGGAACGTTTGGGAATCAAGTGCAGGAAATCTCCCAGTGGACCAGGGTGCAGGCAAGCGAGCGCTTGAGAGCAGAACTACTGTAGACAAGCCTCTTAAACATAGCTCTCTTGGACATGGCCTAGCAGTTGAAAACAGGAGATATCGTAGTCCGAGAGACTTTGGCAACCTGCCCGCAAAACGGCGTAGATCTCGTTCTCGATCGCTCTCGACCTCACCTCCGCCACGGCCGCACTCTCCAAGGCCACACTCTCAGTCTCACAGGATGCATGACCACCTTGGGCATCACATTGAAAGATACAGAATTCCGAGCCATCATCGCCGTAGCCCCGAGCATAGAAGTACGCATCACCGCTTGCGAGAGCGTTATTCTCCAGTGCTTCGACGTCATTATAGAACTGATAGGTATTCGCCATCTCCACCTCGACTCGGAAAGACATCTCGAAGACAGCCTTCACCTGGTAGGAGACCAAAGAGTCCTTTGGTCCGAAATAAAACCACCAAAGAAGCACTGCTGAAGCAACCGGCTAAGAAGCCACTTAAAAAGATATCAGCTAAACCTGGTAGCACTGTGTTGGTGCAAGAGAATGAGAATGCTTGTGGTGGGTGCCAGCAGCCACAAGTCCCGAGATCGCTTGATGAGAACAAAGTTTCGTGTTCGCTAGAAAGTGAAACACCAAGGACAGATGGTGGTGTTGATGTTAGCAAGGAGACTAAAGAGCTGGGTGAAGTGGCAGCTGTGAGTGATTGTGCTGATGGCTTAGAAAAGCACACTGTCGTATAGCTATCTCTCCTGTCCTAATTGAAAGAAATGATCTTGCTGATATGAACTTGTGTATCTTAGACCAAGCCATAATTTTGCTGGTTCACTAAAGGGTTGTGCAGAGTGTGAATGCAAACAGTATTTCACAGTCGTTCAAGGAAGTTTTTGTTCAGGCGCTGTTGATTTTTGTATTGCATAGTTTCCCATGTAATAGAGCCCTTTTACAATATGGAGTAGCCGAGGCAATAGGCTCCTCAACCTCTCCACAGCAAAACAGTTAAAACAGCCCTTTTGCAATGTTTTTTGTTATGCAAAAAAGATCATGGAATATTCCCTCAAACGTACTATAATGAAGCAGACGAAATGGGAGATATTCACATGTATATGTATATAAATAAACAAATTGATAATAATATGCAACGCCATTGCTTAAATAATGAAGACTGGGCAGCGCTGCAGCACGAGTCTTCTGATTGGAAGGCCAGCGCAATATTGCTTATAGTGTTTGTTTCGAAGGTCGAGAGTTTTGAATGAACAGCGAGGATTGGAAATGATGTCATGGCTCGAAATATTCTGTACTTGTGCTATCGAAAAGATCATTGCAGTCTTTATTCGGATGTTATCTGCTAAAATTGTGTTCTGGTGCACTGTATATGCGACATGGTGTGGTTGCCTGGTTGTCTATTGCAATTCGAACACAGCTCAATTATTCACTTCTTGAAGTGTGGAAAATAGCTCAAAAACACAATAACAAATGAAATTGCCACATCACTTATCTTTGCTCCCTCACTGGTGAATTTTACAGCTCTCAACAGCATTCCAATTTCAGTGGTGTAGTTGCTTTCCCTCACAGCTATCGTGAACATTTAGTAGAAGAAGAAGAAAGCAGGGTTCAAGCCAGATTTGAACCCCTAGCCTTCTGAGTGGCAAGCGGTTTATCATATAGGGACGCCAGTGCCTTGAATCTTTTTTTGGAAAAAGAGCCTGCACAAGCAAGCATTTAGTCCGGTGTAAGATCATGTTTCATAGATGTATTGTGTGGCCGCATCGCACCAGGTGTTGCACTATGTCAATTGCGAATGAGTGGGTAGTTTACACAAGTACTGACACAAATTTTAATAATTTTTTACAATGTTGCTTTGAATAAAAGTACTGGTTTCAAGAAATTTGTAACGAGTATTGTGGTGCTTGGGAATGCCCTAAATATATTTTATTAGTGCTACTTGAAAAAAAAGTAATAAATTTAAACTTTCGACTTTATTTCAAGGGGCTGGCTTCTTAGTGACGTGTCATAGCAATGTGACGTCATGAAGAAGACAGCAGCTGGCAACGTACTAACGACAAATCTGTCATTTGTTCGTGGTGCAGGTAAACAGCTATGTGTAAATTGTCATGCAGTTGTTACCCTGACAATGATTTCTGCTATTTAGGTCGCTTTGAGTACGCAAAGTTCGCAAACTTGAGAACTGTGATGACTTGTCTGGATAATGTCCATTGCAGAGGAGCTAGCTTGGAAACTTTAAGATCAAAATAAAATGTGTTATACGTGTTTTCTCACTCCCGTGTCTGGAGAGCATTGACAGTGCGTAACAAGGAAACAAAAAAAATGTTCTTTTTGCGGTGTTTTTAAATCATGTCAGTACTCCTTTAAAGCTTCCAACCAGTTACAAATGAATCAACGATATTCAGCATCCTATTCTTCATTTGCTACAGCAATAATAATTTGTAAAGCTGTGCTGGTACACATTTTGCCTTCAGAATGTGCAGTGTGTTTCGCTACTTCATAAAATGGGATGATTTATTCTTTAGCCAGTAACTCAAAGCTGTTCTTGCGGGCACCTTGAGAGAGCTTACAGCTGGCTGCATGAATACTTCGCCAGCTTATGCTGGGACTGTGCTGCTTGTTCTATGCTGACATGCTGTTTTTCATTCTATATTTCTTTAACAGCGGAGCTGTTTAAGCTCGAAATTAGGCTGTGTATAGTGAACAAAAGCTATCATCATCATGATCAACCTCTACCTTTAGCACGTAGCTCGGCACTTGGCGTTTCTTCTTGATCTTCCTTGCCCCCAGAACACGTGGGCCTACTTATCTAGTGTGGGAGGCAATAACTATGGTGGGCGATAAAACAAGTACAGAGAGAGTAAAGAAAGAAAAGCAACACAAAATGTTTGAAAAATCAGAGCAAGACATCAAGAGAAAGAAAGCAAACTGTTGCAACGTATAGTATATTACAGCAAGGAGGTGCAAAATAGAAGTGAGGGTGAGGAGGGCAAAGCGTGAAAGAGCATAGCTACACACCCACACATAGACTGAGATAAGACACACGTCGAAAAACGTAATGGTTTCCTACCGTTTTGGCTGTGAGGCTTGCCTTCATCAGAATTTTGACGAAGGCTCGTCCCACGGCCAAAACTTTTAAGAAACCGTCCTTTTTTTCGACTTGTCTTCTTTTTGGTTATATTATTTACCAGCGTCCAAGAAGTTATGTCCCACCCTTTTCTCTCCCTCTTTCGCTCTCTATCTCTCTCTCTCTCTCTATATATATATATATATATATATAATAAGGAAAGAAGTGTATACTTAAGGGCTTGTTTTTTCGTGTTTCACACAATAATAATGAGATCTAACCGACAATAATGCCAATGAAAATATGAGGGAAGTTATTAGATTGAGTTTTAATATAAGTGCTAAGAAAGAAAAATGGGTGAACTTTCCGTGGGCAGAAACCGAACCTTCACATTTGCATTACAGTTCGATCTAATAACTTCCCCTATACTTTCCTTGGCATCATTGCTTGTTACATCTCATTAATATTGTGTGAAACACGGAAAAACGAGCCCTAAGGTATACCATTCTTTCCTGAATTCATTAACGAGGGTCTCGTACTGGCAGACTTGGTGTCTTTAGGTTGTATACGAGGGACTATTGCTCAGCTGCCAGTTCATAAGCTCACGTGCAACGTGACGCCAAACAGGCTCATAAAGAGTGTGCCACACTCGGCGCCATGGCTACTGGTGGCGCTGACTGACACTCTCACGCTGAACTCATATATATATACTCTATAATGTGGCTGGGGGGATAGCCGCCACTGTAGCTCAGTCGCAGGTTCTGTTCCTGCCCACGGCAAGTTAACTTTTCACCCACTTTCTTTCTTCACATTTACATCATTACAATTCGATCTAATTACGTCCCCTATACTTTCCTTGGCATTATTGTCTGTTGCATCTCACTATATATATATATATATATATATATATATTATATATATATATATATATATATATATATATATATACATATATATATAAAGAAGGGATGGAAGGGAAACGTCACTTACTATAAAATTTCGCAAAATATTACAAGACCACTCAATTCCTGGCCAATACCCCACAGTGGGTATGAACCACAAGAGGAGGTAAACAGGAACAGCTCTGTTGTCTGTCTACTCAGTGATCGCACAACTGGTGCGTAGCTGCCCCAATTATCTGCGCTATTTTGTACTGCAATAAAGTTCTACTGTACTAAATGAGAACTCGTGTACTACAACTAAGCTCTTGAGCGAAAAAAAAAAAATGTCATGGGACAACGTTTAACATGCTGCACAAAGCCCATAATATCATATATTGTCGAATCAGTTAATTACATAAACTTACATGTATATAGAAAATGTTTTAGTGGGTAGCTTGCAAAGCAAGATAGCTGTCTCCTTTCTGTGATTGCAACCAAAGTTTGGCTGGGTCGCATCCCAGGAGGTGCATTCTGTTGAGCGTCAGCCTCAAGGTATATCAAGCGCAGTGTCATATAGCTGTGTTTCGCATAAATATTTATCTGGTCATTATGACCACTCTCCCTCAGCCACGACACCAAACTCGTAGCGCGCATGCTTAAAAAAGCGTCCTTCTCCGCACAAACACCCTTGATGCGGGAAAGCAACCTTGCCCGAGCGCTCTTCGCGAATAGCGTATAGACGTGGCAGTTGATGCCAACATTACTGTTGGTTGGAATAGACCCCGTGGGCCATTGGCAAGTGCCACTTGTGCCGCATATTTGCTAATAATACCATTAGTTATCGGGGTTTCACGTCTACAAAGCCACGGTGTATAGTGTTATCGTACTGGAGGGCTCCGGAAATTTCGCCCACCTGGGGTTCTTAAACGTGCACCTAAATCCAACCACACGGGCCTCAAGTATTTCCGGCTCCATCGAAAATGCAGTCGCCACAGCCGAGATTCATCATTAATCATGTCAGTAGTCAAGCACCACAGACATTAAACCATCGCGGTGGCCGTCGCAAGCTTCAGAGTCACTATAGATGTAACTGCTACCGTCTGTGAACCGCGTATAGCAAGCAGATCGTGAGATGTGTGTTACTCATTTTCAACACTGCATACACCAGAAACCAGCTGGTAGATTCCCTCTTCGCACGATTTCCCGGCGCGTGAGTCTGCAACATCGTTGTCCAGCGCCATGGGGAGGAGGGGGGCGTTTTTTTTTTTTTTGTAGTGAACTCTGGTGGTACGTTTTCCCCGTGTGTGTGTGTGGCGTGTGTTTCATAAACTTGTAAAAGAGGTTTTGCACACAATGCTTTGTGTGTTTGTAAAAAAGAAAAATGCCGTCCAAGAGTAATGCCGGTAGCGTACCCGCATAGATAAGAGACTTCTCGTGGATGCATTCCGTAGTTAAATGTCCACCACTTTCTCACTAATGAATTCGTGCGTCGTGCGCGGGTGCGATAACAGAATGACAATTACCGCTTTCAATATCGGTCACACATACAAGGAAAGTAAATCAGATATATAAAAAATCGCCGTGGCTGTTTCTATTGACAGCTTCCACGCAGATTGCTTTGCAACATAAGGCATTTTTTTTTTTGTCGTCGTTGCAACCGTAAGATGACCACCAGCGTGAACACAGTGAAACGCTACAGTGAGAAATACAAATTGTAACAAATAAGGAACTAATAATAATAATAATATAGTATAACGTTCCAAAACCACGATGTCATTGTGAGAGACGCCATAGTGGAAGGCTTCGGAAATGTTGACCACCTTCGCACTTGTAAAGGCATGCATCTCCGTTGTTGCACCAGCATTCATCTATAAGAAATCGCGATTTATTGACTGCGCAAAAGTCAATTGTTTGCCGAACGCGGCTGTTCAATGTCCTGTTAAACAGCGAGATGTACTCTAACAGGAAATCAACGAAATCATTACGGCACGGGCTGCTTCTGTAGAATGCCTTTGTCTAGTGACCAAGGAAATCAGACAGGTCATTCGCCAGCTATAAATTTTTCGCCAATGCGATGCCACCTGTGAGCAAAATTTAAGCCATTTAAACTGAAATCGCAGTCAGTGACCATGTGCTTCGTGCACATTCCGCCGACTCAATGATTCACAATTTCGGATCATCATTGCCTAACAGCGTTGCGGTCCCTTTCAATATCTCGCGCTGCTCCAAGAGAAACTGGTTTGTGGAAAAAGAAAAAAAGGAGAGAGAGAGGTCAGGAAAACAGAAAGAACAAGGGTAGGCGCAAAATTTAAGCTCGGTTGAAAGTTTGTGCCTGGTCCTGTTTGTTCTGTGTCCCTGCATTTTTTTTTGTGCGCATGCCATGTTTACTCTGAAGGATGAATAAACTCGCCCAGCTACAAGTTTTATTGTATACTTCACTGCTCCTTGTCACTTGGCAAACAAAACGCGTTTTTTTTATTGTTGTTGTTATTCTCTTGAAAACAGAACTACCCGGCGGCACGTCAAATGTGTTCGGTATCATCTTCCCACACGAATAATGCAGATGTGTCGATAAACAGCGTAGCAGATGCACGATAAGCACCACAAAGATCACCTCATGTCGCACCGCGCAAGCTTTTCGGCATGCAAAGGACGCCCTATATTGCACACTGGCCGCTTTGCGGCAGCTTTGGGCTGCTTATGAAGCTGCCCCATATTGTGAGGGCAAAGTTTCGTGGTCATAAGAAGCATTGAATGACTCGAGTACTGCTCAGAACCCAAATTCAGGACTGTGGCCGGCATTTAATTACCATTCGATAATGGGAAAGATGCTTGTTCTGTGGCATTGCAAAGTGACCGTCTGAAATAGCGCTTCCATTTAGATAAAGGAACAGGGGGTCAGAAAATAAAACTAGACGAGTTATTTCGAACAA